AACTTTATACACAACCATTCTCCACGAATTTTGATATCATGAAGCTCCTTTTTCAATTTTGGAACTCATAAAATTACTTACCTTGTCATACATATTTTTTAAGCATTCTGATTGTACACAACAGATATTGACAAAAACAGATTGTTGAGACAATATTGAACGTCTTCCATCAATCTATTGTTCCAGTTGGTACCAATTGTACCCCATTGTTATGGGCCGCAGCAGCGGCCGATTAGAAAGTGCACATGGGGAAATGAGGTTATTTTTTAATGTTTCTGTATAATCATTGAAAATATTTTAAAAACTTGGTGTAAATTAAGTATTAATTAAGGTCTATATGTAAAAGGTCTGCTTGAAGACCCCTTATTATTATTCTTATTTTTTTTACTTTCTAATTTTGTGCACGCAATTTCTCGAGCTTTGAAATTAGAAATTTTCAAAGTGTTGTTACATAAAAATCCGAAAATTACACTGGATAGTTAAAAAAATGACTTTTGTCCACGATTAAACTCAAAAACGGTCCCCAGTAGATTTTTAATAAACTTTTTTTGCTTAGATATTTGTCACAACTGTAGTAAAAAAAATCTGAAGCGTTGATTTATGAGTAAAAGCAAAAGAGGCACAACTCTTTTTGAGCGTTTAACTTTGATACGATATATAATAGTGAAATAAAACAGTTTAACTGGGCTTGATACGATATATAATGTGTACAAAGGAAGGCTAACACCTTGTAGTTCATTGTCGGTTTTCAAAATCCATAAATGTATACACAAGTAAAACAATAGCTAACAATATGATCTGTGTCAGTGCTTCTCAAACAACTGGTTTTGGTTGGTTCTCAAGAGAAATTAAAAATCCAAAACCGAAAGGTTATAGTTTTTCCATTTAGAGGTCAATTAAACTATATTAAACGAATGTTACAAAAATGTAATTCTTAATGGAGTTTATATTAACATTCTTTTTCTCATCTTAATCAAGTTATTGAACATAAATGGTATCTGACCTTGACTGTCGTAGAGCGAGGCATGTTTTTTGGCGAAACATTTCAACCTTTTTATGAAAATGTAACTAATCATAGTTCACTTCTGGGAGTTGTTTTCACTGCTTTTGTGTTACGTGACAGTGTTAAATATATTTTCATCGAAATGTAGGCTATGAGAACGTTCTTTTTTTTCTTAATTTCATTGAAGCTATCACACCTTATCCAAAGAAAAGGCGCGAAGATACAAATTATGAATAATGGCCCGTCTTTTATAATTCTTAGACAGGTGTACTGTAGCAAAAGTATACACAAGTTTTAGAGCAGTACTCCTAATAGCGTAATGGTTAGCGCATCATGTCCCAGGATTCAATTTGTGACCAAAATTTTTAATCATTTCTCATCATGTGTGGTCAAATTAAAAGATCATATTATTTTTTTGAATTTTGTGTACGTTTAATATGTTTTTTCTAAATTTTATATATCCGGGAAGATTTATTTTGTGTCATTTTGTCCATCAAAGCAGGTTATAGATCATATTCATTGTCTATGTTTGTAAGATAAAAAGTTGTATTTTTTAACGCATAATTTAGTGGTGATAGAGACCCTTTTATTTGCTTACTATATAATTTGGAAATCAATTTAATTCATTTCATAATCTGAAGCGGGTACTGTGGTATTAATCCAACTTATAATTACAAAGGAATATTTGGAATTCCAACTCCGACGTTCTGGAGGCAGCGAAACGAAAGTGTAAGGATAAATGAAATACAAAGGAATATTTGGATTGTCACGTCGTATTTACGTCTTCTATAACGTCTTCTATAATGGGTTTAGGCTGAAAAGAAGAAAAAGAAAAGATTAAATGTGCAAATAAAATTTGATACCCCCAAATCATGTAAATTTAGTTTTTTAAGAAAGAACATCATATTATTTGATATTCCCACACAATTTTTAGAAGATCGCTAAATCGATGAAGATCTGAGAAACTTTCAAGAGTACTGTGAAACAATATATTCAAGGGGCTAAGTATTAATCAGATAAACATTTCGGATAATTAAAAAATACAAGTGTTAAATTTACTTTCTGGGAAAATTTTTTTTCATTTCATCGAAATCACAAGAATTTACCAGGCGCGATTCAACTGCTTAAAAACTTTTGACTATTCAACTTTGTGCAATACACAACCATTCTCCAACGATAAATTTTTTTGATATTTTGTGCATTTCCCGATAGCTGTGTCCTTTTTATACAATTAAATTCGCTTCCGATGCTAAGTTATGGACAATTTTCTGAAATAAAATTACTTACCAGCAAAAGATTGTCATTATAGGTCATATGCCAAAGTATTTTTTGTAAAGCATTTTTTCTGAAATTGTACACATATAATTTGTTTGAATATCAATAAATCTAAACTCTAGATATCTGAAGCGGGTCCAAAATGGCGGCTGTCTCTGTCAGGTTGACATTAAAACGATAAAGATGTGTTGTCACTTCGTATTGACAATATTGGAGGCTGACAGAAGTCAAATTCCTATTATCTTTTGATTTCCACCACGGAAAGCAGATCATAGATATAACTAATAGTTTTTTCAAGAATTCCTTGACCACTGCTTTTCTCATGCACACTTGTACTAATAGAATTAAGAAATCAATTTTTAGAAGATTGCTTAATCGTAACATTCACATTGTTATGGGCCGATTTCAGCAGCGAGCCATTATTTTCGAACTATTTCAACCTGTTTTTAACTAATCAGGATGCACTTGTGTTAGAAAGTGCACATGGGGCTTATATACAATGAGAAGTTATTTTTTATTTGTATAAGAGTATTTCATTGAAGCAATAACACCTATTTGTTAGAACTTTTCAAAGAAAAGTCGTGAAGAATTACTTGTGGCGACATTTTGTATTATATCTATACAGTAAAAGTATTTTAAAATAGCGTAATATTGGTGTTTTCAAATTAAGTATTTTTTAAAAACTTTTTAGCTTACGGGTTGTTTTCTGTTCGTCAATTTCATTTCATCATTTCTCATCAGATAATTAGTAATTTATGGTTATATAAAAGTAGAGTACAATAGGTACTCCCACCCTGGCAGTGTGTAAAACTTAAAAGTAAATCATTACGATTTTTCGGATAAAAATAACGTGATAAAAGTGCATGGTGAATAAAAATTGAAAAGTTGTTCAAGGAGTAAAAATTGCATGTTCTGAATATGGTATAGCTTCGAATGAAACAGTAAAGCAGGATTTTTCCAATACCTTATACGTGAAAAGAAAACACTTGCTGTGGCCTTCAACTCAACTTTTAGATATTTCGACGACGTATTGTCAATTAACAGTCATTGTTATTTTCATTCTTATGTCGAAACGATATATCCTACTAAGCTTGAGATAAATGATACGAATGTTTTACTTAAAAAAAAACGTGAATGGTAATTTAACAGCCAAGCTTTGTGATAATGACTTGAACTTTTAAAAACGTCATCTTACTTTACTTACGCAGCAATATACATGTACCTTCATCACCTGCATACAGGGTTTATATTTCTCATTATATCTCTCAGTTGATTCTATATTTAAGACATGATCTCTAAAAACAAGGTACATTATTGACAAACAAATTAATGAAACAAGAATAGTAGCATGCAGTCGCGTTTAAAGTCGTCATTTCGTAAAGCCTATGGTCGATACTATGACCTTGTGAGCAAATACAATTTATCATTGTTGAAGAATATAGTCCAAATTTTCCTCGACCATATATAAAGAAATAAACATTACCCTTAACCAAAGCGCCTATGTCGCAATTCTAGATACTAGAAAACTAGTATCTAGTTACTAGATACAAATAGATAACTATATATAGTGTCTCAGACTACATATAAGACAATACGCTAACTAGCATTTTTAAGTATTTAGATGAACATGTCAACTCAAATTATCAAGGCTTCATTTAAAGCACAAGTACTACATGTATAATGTAGCAAACAGGTGAGTCTAAAATATTCATGGGAGATCTAAAATAGGTTGTGGTCAGCAACGTAATAATGAAAAACTGAGGACTGGCCGTAAAACAGGCATTTAGAAGAACAGATGACAACTTCATGACATTATTAATCATCGCGGGGATTGGGGGAGCTTGACAGCGCATGCACAATATTAGCACCGGGCACACGGAAATGTAATAAAAACGAAATATAGGTTTTCATAAATATTTCTTAAACCATATATAGACATATGTTTTTACATACGTGTTATTGAAATTAATTCTAAGCTTTTTGGTGTTAAATAAATATATTTCTGTTTTTAGGCTTATATGATCATGATCTACTGACCGAAACCTTTCATTTTCACGCCCCCGATTGATTAATGTTAATTATAGGCAATCGATGACTACATATATGTCAACAACTATACGGCAAGTTAAAACAGACTGAAACAAAACAATTTTTAAGACTTGTTATAAATGCATCAATGTAAAATGTTAAGCTAAATGCAGCATGTCAAGCCTTGTTAATGTAATTTCAATAAAAATTTGAGATTTAAACAATTCTTAAATGTCTGATTTGCACATGTTAATTGAATAAAGTGCTTTATAGCAACTTTTTAACAGTATCAAAAATCATTTGAATGTGTTAAATGCTGAACTTTAATTTTTCGACGAAGGATCTTTGCTTTAAATTAAAAGATATACATACTGTAAATTTTTTTTTACTGTTTTAAACACAGAAAAATTCGGATTTGAACATACCTTGCCAAATAAGCATGAGATTAATAAACCGAAAAAATCCATTTTCAACTCAAAATAAAAGTCAAACATTCTCTTTAAAAAAACCCAAATAAATCAAGTTCCATTTGTGGTCACTACACAATGCAGTATTTATACAATATATTCTTTTCAACCAAAATTTATTAAACGAAACAAAATTAAAGAATAAGAACTTTGACACTTGACCTTTCAATTGCAGTGGCCAAGCCTTTGTAATAAATGTCGTAAAGAGGACAGGAGACAGTGGATGTATAAAAAGCCCGCTAAACTAATCACCAGGCACTGTGGGTCAAATACAGTCAGCGGTAACGAACCTTCCACCTCTCCTAAAACTTCACTCCCGACACCATGATCAAGGAAAGTGCTCTTGTCCTGGCGGTTTTTGGTTGCGCTTGTAAGTTTCAATGTGGATTTTATTTTGAACAAAATTTTATCTGGATTATTTTTCGGTTTTGTGGACTCTTCAAATTTTATGTATTTTGTGAAAATATTTGCAGATGTTTTTTAACAATGGATACTAATATCTTTTTTTTGCACATACCATATTCGATGTTTCGTATGATATTGTACCGTAACTTTTAATGTCGGAAAGGGTCGCTATTTTATTTACAGCTGCCCAACTAAATAGAAATTTTGCCCTTCTCTGGGCCCTAAGCTCTGGCGGTAAGGCTGATGTTGGTGGTTGTCAATCGTTGTATTGATAGTTTAGTAGATTCTCTCTTTTGATTTATTTTTAATTAACCTGTCCATCTCCCTGCGATTTTTTGAACATTTGCAGTCAATATTGAACATAATTTTAGTTTTGAATAGTGCTCTTCAGTTAAACAACAGAAATCGAAAGAGATGAATCTAAGCTGAAATTTTGATTACACTTTTAACTTAAAAACAAATTTATTCTGAATCATGTGTTGAGTTTGTGTCGTGTTGCTTGAAGTGTATAATTGTGAGCTCGTTTCAAAGGCCCGGGAATCTGTGTTGTCTGTTGTACATCTGTGAAATATATATCCTTATATACTATAATTTAGTGTACGTTTTCGTTACCGTATTATACTTCTGTTGTGTTTTAATTTAGTTGAATGATGTGAATTCATAATTGACAAATTGGCAATATGAATTTAAGCATTCATTTAGAATACGACAGTTCGTTTGATCGTTTCCATTTTGCATTTTTTAATCAATGAATTTTATATTCACTTCCCTTAAAATACTTTGAAAAAAAAAAAAGACAATAAGTAAAATGTATCAAAACAAATTCTATTTCAGTCATTGCCAACTGTGGTCTTAAGAAAGGGCTTTATTCATTAATGTTGTCTTTCAGATGTTAGCGGACAGATGAACCCCATGGCACTAATGGCATTGTCTGGGGGAGCAGGAGGAAGGGGCGGGGCTGGCTCAATGATGATGCGCCTCCTCAACAACCCGTACAGTCTTTGTAAAGAAACAGAGGGAGTTAAAGCCATTCCTTGCCGTACCGGTAACATCTGCGATCTTCTCTCACTAAGACAGTACCGTCTTCCAAATCTAATGAAATGTAGCCCAGCTGGTATCGGATGTTGTCTGAAAGATTACATGTCTCTGCAATTAAGCAAAATGATGAACTGAGAATGCAAAGGTAACCGAATTTTTTTTATTCCCATCAAATTAAATTTACATAACCCAGAAATACAAAATATGTATTATAATTTTTTTTTTACAGTAGGTGATGTTCTGTTTCATTTAGGTGTTTGAAGAAATCATTTTTTTTCTTTATATTTTTCTTATTACTTTTGTGCGAATTTCTCAAGGTTACCATCTCTTTATTTTCTCCTAAATCTGTGATGTGTCCCAGTATGAGTCGATAAACTAGGGTTTTACACTGACCACATATTAACCTCTGCACTAAATGATTGAGACAGACACTTTGTTAAAGTAAATGACACTTTGATCTATGCTATACGAAAACGGAACCACTTCCCAGAGAGTTATATTTTTGTTGCTTGGCACATTTACGGCTTGTGACGTCACTGGTGTGCCAGGCTAGATATGGTCAGGTGACATGTTTATTAGAAATATATATTTCTTTCGGGAATAGAAAGTCTGTATCAAGAATATTATGTTTTTAGATGTGTGAATATTAATCAGTCAAATTTACTGTCCTATTGTCTGATTGCACAATCCATCATTGTGAAGGAACGGAAATAGCAATGTCGTAAAAAAAGATGGTTGCCTGATTTTATATTATTAAAGGAACAAAAAAGAAAGAAAGCAAAGGAAGAACAATTTCTAATTATGAATTCTTTGCAACAAGTTAAATAGAATTTTGCAATTCTTTGCAACAAGTTAAATAGAATTTTGCAATAAATTCAAACAAAACAAAAATTTTCAGAGAATTGAGACCACCTTGTTGACTGATCTTTCTTTTTCTATTTCAGAATTTCATCTTTTCCCTAATCATACAAAGGATGCACAAACACCAGGAAAAAGTCCTATTTTTCTGATGTGCAATTTTAGGTCATTTCATTAATCAACAATTTCATCCAAATGGTTCTTTAACATGTTGTTGTCACTGGCGAAGAGATCCGGAATAACAAGATGTCCACAAGGCCAAATGTCTCTCCTCTGTTTTTTTGTGAGAAAGTGATGGGACCCACATTATGGCGTGAATGTGAAATAATTGTTGCTAATAAAGTTTTAAAATAAAAAAGAATGTTTCTTGTATATTTGCTGAAGTATGATTTTACTTGTGAAAATTTTTAAGGATTTAAAAATCATGAAAAATAGTCAGAAGAAAATTATCAGAAAATTAACTCCATTGTCTTGGACATCATTTCAAACAAGAAAACAATTTGAGGTTATATGTAAAACATCAAATTGGCCGTAAAGATATATTATTTTGGTATAATTTAAAGAATTTTCACAAAAAGGAATCCAAAGGAAAAATTCAAAATCGAAATATTACATGTACCGTATATAGTATTAGTATGGTACATTTCTTTTGAAAAATATTTAATTGCATCACTTTTTGTGCAATTTTTATACTTTAAGTCTCAGTGTGATAGAGCAAATTAAATAAATTCTTGGAAACAGAAGTAAGAAGTATTCACCCCTGAAAAAAAAACTTTTTTTATATTTAATTTATTTGTTTTAAGCACTGTACATGATATTCATATAATCTTATATCTTTTGAATGACCCTTTCAGGGACCGGTTCATGCAACAATTTTTAAGTCTTTGTTTTTTAAAGCGCGTTTTTTTTTTTTTTTTTTTGAATCATTCATAATTTCTATCTAAAGAATAATATATTTAATAGAAGCAATGACAAAAACAACGCCCCAATTTCCGCTGTGGACATTTTATTGCAACCAAAAATAGATGTGGCCGATAATAAATAAGTATTTTCATATCACGCATTTTTACCGATCAGAAAAAAGTTCGTATAAGTAATTAAAGCTATATATGGCGTATCTGAGCTTTTAAGATTTACATGATGCATATTTTTATTTAATGATTTTTGGACTTCAATTTGCTAACGTTTTTATGGTTAAAATGACTTGAAGGGTGCATAGACACAGATTTGAAATTAATAGTTTCTCAAATTTTCTGTATAATATCACGACTTATATATTGCAATAGCATTTTTACACGAAAATCTTATATTAAAAATTTCATCTAAAAGTTATTGAAACTTCAAAACTTGGACGGGTTTGATTGACACATCCTTGTACTTTCACAAATCTTAGTTTTATTCTTAATACTTAAGAAAAGTGGCAATCTTGTTGCGTTTTAATGAAAAGTAGTACACATAGCACAACTGTGTATTGTCAGTCCGTGCAGTTGTGGTGAGCAGACTTTTAAGAAATAAACAACACAGTTTTTAAAAAGTTCTCTGGGAAATGGAACTTATAGTTGGTCACGTGATCAAATCCTGTGACGCCCGAAGGGCTTCTCAGTAGATTTAATTACGTACCAACTAAAAGTTCATTTCCCAGTGAACTTTTTAACATTGTTGTTTATTACTTATATTTACATTTGAGACGAATAAATTTCGTGTAAAATTGCATTTATTACACGAACGGGCCACCGTATTGCTACGTTGTGAAGCGCAATGACCTAGAAGTTGTTTGGTCAAAGTTAGTTTACCTCGCTCCAACATTTGAATGTTTACATTCATGTTTAGCAGTCCAGTTCAGGAAATATCTGTATATAATCGCTGCTGAGAATGATCTAATTCTTTCATAAGTTCTTACAATATTTGAAGTCAAAAGCGGTGGTATCGCCTGTTTTAGTCAGTTTGGTTTTAGGCTAATTATAGTATTCAAAACGTACCTTATTCACATCAAAAGAAGATTTATTTTACATCTCATGATTGAAAAATATCCATATTGTTTATTCTGCACCGTGACAGAAATATGTAGATAAAATATCACCTCCCTCTGTGATTCGGTCGCACTATGACCTCTGACCTCCAAACTGAATATATTTTCTCTTCAAAAGGTTCATCTAAGAAAGATATTTGCAAATGTAAATATTAACAATTAAACACACGATGAATCGTAGACTTTAACAATAACAGAGCATGTTCCCTGTTTATAAAAACTGTGTACGTCTCGTCATGGATGTGTTCAATTTGCTACACTTTGTACACAACACGTACAAAACGCGGAATGACAATACTTGTGAAGAGGTTTTGCTTAATTTCGAACATTTTGAATATAATTATTTTTCTGGATTTAAGTTTATATATATGACTTTAACCCGGGAGACTTAATTACTTCAACTGTATATCGTCTATCAAATAAGACGTTAACATTAATAAACTGCACAGCTACATGTAGCAGTAGTATTGGTTGTTGATTGATTTGTACAAATGTATTTTGTTTAACGCCCCTTTCGAGAATTTTTCACTCATATGAAGACGCCACCACTTGTCGATGGAGAGCTGCAAATTTTGTCCTATACTCGGAACTCATGGCCATTGAACTGGGAGGGATCTTTTTTGCGCCAGCACCTACTGCGACACGGGACCTCCGTTTATACGGTCTCATCCGTAGGATCGGTCTCCACGTCCCGCAGTGGGATTCGAACCCGCGACGTAAGGATCAATTCCTTTCTTCGCGACTCAAGAGCAGACGCTCTAATCACTGCGCCAGGCGGGAGACTGAATCCATACAAGTATTGCTATAAAATAAAACAAAACTAGAGGTACTGTGAGCACTGAGCTCACTACATGATGCCCATTGGCATTATGTAATAAAGTATCTGTGAAAATATCATCAAATTGTATTCAGTGGTGTAGGAGGAGTTGCTGATAAGAAAATAAAAGAATTGCATTGTTCTTGTTTGTCCAATAAAAAAGTTAAATACTCGTAGGAGGTGCAACGTGGCAAAACATTACAAAGATTCTGTGAAAGTATCATGAAATTTCATTCAGTGGTAGAAGAGGAGTTGCGGATAAGAGATGGATACCCCAAAGCGTAACAGACAGACGTACAGACGGAAGGACATCCAGATCACAGTATACCCCCTTTCTTTCAAGCGGGAGGCATATTGAACATGTTGAAGAGGACATGTAACTCTAAAGCAAGAAATATGGAATGACCAGGATGAACAAAAATAATTCAAAAGATCAATCTTCTGGTGCTAACACACTTCCAATTTATCACTATAAAACAATATTGTTGTATCCATGTAAGTTCTGGTATGAAATAAACCAAAATGATCAAGTTGAGTATATATTACTCCAAATTAAGAAAAAAGGGTGACCAAGGAATTACAAAAATTGTAAACCAGTAAAGATAATATTATAGATCAATTTTTTGCCTCCATTTTCCCTTTGCTAACACCTCCACTTTATCACTATTGAACAATGGAGATGAAACACTTCAAAAGTCAGAATACGTTCTATATTATTTGCTTCTCATAATCTCTGAGTACAATGTACAAAGATAACTTTTTATGAAAGTTTTTTAACTTAACATTTGCGGTTTATAAGTTTATTTGATTATTAAAACTTTAATTTTAGTTTTATACATTAAAAGACTTTTGTAATTCTTTTATTTTATTAACCGTTCAAAATACATGTAATATATAATTAACATGTATAACTTCGTAGTAAAAACCACAGGATAGTTCATATTTCTCATAAGATCAGGAGTCGCTCAGCACCAAACACTTGGCCCAGTGGTCACAATTCCGGATACATCATCACTGTTGCTCATCATAACCACGCACTTTGGTTAACACAAAAAGCGAAGAACATTTTTAGTCCTACTGGTCAGAGACAAGAAGAGCTTATGTGATAGTAAGGTGTCTGTCCGTCTTTCTGTAAACGTTTAAAAATGCTACACCTCCTTTGTAGTTTTGGTCTGATTTCAATATAACTCAGGGTTAGGGTTAGGGTTAGGTTGACTAAAAATAGAAATTTCTGTCAAATTTCTTTAAAACTCTACTCCTCCTACAGTTTTGGTCTAATTTCAATATAACTTGGCACACAAGTAGACTACACTAAGATATATAATTAAGTATATCGTTTTTGATTTCGATGTTGCCATGGTTACTACAACTGGAAATTTTTGTCAAATTCCTTTAAAACGCTACTCCTCCTACAGTTTTGGTCTAATTTCAATTTAACTTGGCACACAAGTAGACTACACTAAGTTACATGTACTTAAAGTACATCGGTTTTTAGCCGGGCTTATTGCTCAAAGAGCAATTGCCGGCTTATGTGATCCTGTTCAAGACAGGAAGTCAACCCCATAGTCGCCATTTTAAAGTTACGTGCAAAAATATAGTTCTTACTCTCAACCGCCTTTGAGATAATGCAAACGCTAAATAAAGCAACAAAAATAAAACGAAGTTTTATCTATATAGATAACAATTAGTAGTAATGACAGTAATGAGAGGGAACCAGACTGGCCTGTTTGTTTAAATTCAGCTGCGGTACCAGATTAATTCTGATTCTGACAAAATCGGACCGTGGTATTAGGATTGAAAAACTCACTGGCAGTGTCTTAAAATTTATATTGATAGTTTTAAAATAATTTTTTCATCAGAATATAAACGTGATTCATGTAAGAAATTCATTCTACTCTGTAAATGAGCCCGGCTCTCTGTACTTCTGATGAACGGTGTTTTCATGTTTACTAAAAATAGAAATTTCTTGGAAATTCTTTTAAAGTGCTACTCCTCCTTAGGCTACAGTTTTGGTCTGATTTCAATACAGCTTAGCACACAAGTTGCCACAAAAGAGACTTAATCATGGATCATTACATGTATAATAATACGTATTTATTGCTGTTGTAAAGTTCAAGTCCCAATGGCTACTTCTCTCTTCCTTTGTTATAAGTACAAACCAGTAGAGCTTAAGTCTCTACAGAGAATTCTGGTTTGATTAATACATGTATATATGTTTCTTTTATATGTCAAATAGACCCAAACACTAGGGCCATATAGATTGGTGTAAGTCTAAATGCTTGTAACAATAATGTTCATAATATGACTGTTTGATGTCCAGAAGTGATTTTTAAGGATTACTTTAATTTGGATGGCTTTTGCCCCACCACTTAGCCCCCAGGGAAGGAGGCAGGAATTTCAATTTTTTTATTCCCCCTTATCAATAGATGGCTTCTGACAAATTGGTTGAA